GTTGCCTTCGATAAACGATCTAGTCACTAAATGACATTGCTAAAACGTCCCATAGGTTTCCTTCTATCACTATACAAACGTCCCACGCCCGTCCATCCATATCCAATGATGGGGCTTCTTACCAAAACAATGGTAAGATAGCCACGTCTAAAGGAGGAGGAAAAGAACATATAAAGACCTTTTGAGTAGGTAGATTCGCTCCTAGTTGCTCGCTTGCTCACAACAAAAACATTTATACACCAACACTTTCATCTTGAAACAATTTTCAAAAGACAAAACACTTTATACGTGTTCTTATAGAGACGAGAACCATTACAAAGACATTCCTTTTCAAAATACTTTCAAAACCCACAACACAAAGCACATTTTCAAACAAAAGCAAGTGATCTAGCAAGCAACTAAGAGCCCGTAGATAACTACGGATGAAAGGGGTGCTAATACCTTCCCTTTTCATAATCTACCCCCCGAACTCAAGAAAACATCTCAAAGGTCTTTCTTGTTCTTTTCAGTCTTTCCTTTTGGATAAAAGAAAAGTCGGTGGCGACTCTTGCTAACCACAACATTTACGATCAAATGCAAAACAACCAAGTCAGTTATCCCATCGCGTTACATTGTGGTATCGTATTACCAGGCAAGAAGAGTAAGGGGAAAAGTGATTTCCAAAGCGACTAAGCACCTAACCAAGATATCACAAATCAAGGCAGGAGATAGACGGTGATATAAACAAGCACAAAGCATCGACATCGATCAATGCGAGCTCCTAACAAAGCATGGGGGTTTGATTGTGAAACCCTTTTCAACTTGACGACTCGATAACAAGAGTAGGCACAACTATGAAGTATCATGGTGCGTCACGAGTTAAGGATGACACAGATGAAACGCGGGGGTTGATTTTGAACCCTCTACCCTCGCCTCCTTTTGAGGACTTATTTATGGGGAATGAGAATGGGCGCGTCTTTTTGAGGTCTTTGACACAAATGGAAAGACACTGCATAATTCCTACTTCAAAGGTAGATCTTTAAACAAACCCCACACAAGTAGAACACAAATGCGGAATTGCCTTAAACAAGTCCTTAAATAAACCAGAGCGGTTCCTGACATGATCAGAAATGCAAGTCCCCATCATACATCTATAGTTCTACTTCTCATGGAAAGGAAAGCAATAAAGAATGTAGTAAAAATGCAAGAGGTAAAGAATAATGTAAGTTACCAATTGAACACAAGTTCGTCAATAAGCAGACGAAAGCAAGGAGAAACTCGGAATACGTCTAGCACACTTCACCAAAAAAGCACAAGAGTTAGAAATGGTATCCAATAATGAGAAAAAGGAGATAACACAATGCGAGCCTCAGATGCATCACATAACAGAGTTCTTGCGCAAGATTATACTACACAAGAAGAATAATATCCAGAAAAATAACGAATAATGAGAATTTCTCTTGAAATGAGAAACAATATGTTACATTGGAAACGAGCATAAGTTAAATGTTTTTCAATCACATAACCATCGCTATGTTACATGATTGAAAATAATACAATGTACCTTGCACAAGTCAACAAACATGTCAAAAATGACAAGGAAACGAGAATAACGTGGCATGATCGCATCACAAGTCCAAGCATGGTCAAGGTGTAAAGAAATTTAATGCAAATATATGTTGCAACACCGTAAAGTAAAACCGGGCAGCCACACACGCATATCACAAAGTACACCGGAAACGGAACCAGAATCGAGCCGAATCCATCACAAAGGTTTCCAAACGAAATACCAAAAGAAAGTAAACAATAGATAGAAACTAGAGCAAGAAAAATATGCACTAAAATGACTTAAAATGCATTATTTACAAAATTAGGCGTCCGAAAAATTGTCACGGAATCGAACGAAAATCGCATGATTACATCTAAACGTGCCAAGGAACTCAAAAATGTGGTCGGTTTCGCTTAATTCGGAATGAAAGAGTTACAAACAGGACAACAACACCATAATATGTAAAATCGTAGGAATTTCATTCTGAAGCCATGAAAATCCACTTTAAACACTATCCAAACGTGTAATCCAAGTGTCTCAAGCGTTAGTAATTAAGCAATGTGTGACTTTATGTTCAAGAAACGTCCAAAACGGATGAAAATGCACAAAAATCAAATGTTGATTTAATTTCTAAACTCTACGTTTTTGCATTGAAAATGAGAATTTATTTATGCATAGACTTGGAAATCATGTCAACATATGATAAACAACAAAATCTCACAATTAATTCCATAATTGACATTAAGTTAGAAATTCGGTTTTTTGAAGGTTTAAGTGTTTTTTACCGAATTATAGATTCAAACTTGTATCAATAATGTAATTAAACAACAATCAATGCTCCTCTTTAATCATCACAAGTCACAACAATTGCAATTGAGAAATAACATATTATGTAGAATTAAGAGAAACACATAGAAGTGATTATGTAATTAAAGTAAGCTTATGGAACCTACCATGTGAATTTGCACATTCTAGAATCAATGTAAATTGATTTCACATGTTAATTTTAGATTTAAAATCAATTATCCAAAAGCTCCAACATTTTAAATTTCAAATAATCACTTTTATGAAAATCACATAATTACATAAGCACTTATTTCTACTAGCCAATTACGAATTTCCACAACATGATCTCAAATAAATTCAATTCTCAACAATTATATCCAATCCACAATTTAATTTCTTAATTAAAGCTCAATTCCAGGAATACCAAAAGTGCTTATTCAAGAATCAGTTATTCAAAAAAGCGCTTAAATCAAGAAAAATCATCGTAGAATTGAAAGGAGATTGAGATGACGAGATCGCAAGAATCGGAGCAGAGAACGGAGGTCGGAGATGGCTGAAATTCGCGAAACAGAGGGAGTATAGAATTGATGTGATCGCGACTTCAGGGAAGAGGAAAACAACGGTTTTCTAGAAGACAGCGGCGGCCGGCGGTGGCAGGAGGTGAGAGGAGGGAGTATAGAACAGTGGTGATCGGATAAGAGAAGGAGAATTTATCTTGTGTTCTTGAGCCTTTTTTGAAAAGTTGTTATGAAGTTGTTGTTGTTCTAGAGAAAAGAATTGAGAGAATGAGGTTTGATCTTGGAGCAAATAGAGAGAGAGTTTCTTGGTGTTTTTGTGAATTGGTGAATTATGAGACAAAAATCATATTTTAGGTTGATGTAGTGAGTGTAATTAGGCCTTGGAAGTTTAATTGGGTTGGGCCTCAATTTGACAGTGTAAGCTTAATACGAGCACAAAATGCCACGTTATCATAGGTGCAAAATCTCGACTTGAGATCAACATAAAAAATGAAGACAATACAATTTGTGACACATTACCGAAAGAATGGGCTCAATAAAAAAAACTATGAGAAAGTTATGAATTTTCGAAGTTTCTCAGACGCAATGTCAGACAAAATTTCTCAACTTGCAGTTTTTTCACTTGTGTTATATGCGAAACGGGACAAAAACGGAAGCCTTTGGAATATCGTTTGAATGTGGAGTCTGAAGAGAAAATATAGCTGACATCATTTGTGAAATTATTCCAAAAGAACCATCTCAATACGACAAAAATCAAAGGAGTTACAATTTTTACAATAACGAGAATCGGTAATTCGAAATATTAATTCTACACCACAAAATCTCTAGTAAACCATATTTCCAGGGACTTTCCTCGAGAAATCAGCTCTCGGTCTAAACATACAAAATGAAAATAAAATCAAGAAGGATTTTCCCCAAAAGTAACGGCTCAGAAACATTGCTCCACGCAAAAGTTATGAGTTTTCAAACATCCGAGAAAATAACGACCAGCACAGTATTTTTACCGTTTTTCCACTGTTTCCTCTCAAAGTATCCGCGCATTCGGAGATTCTCCTCAAAGAATCGGATTTCGAGCTAAACATGAAAGTTGATGAAGGTAACGAGACAATTTTGACGCCTCAAGAAAGGTTCCAAAACAATATTTGAATAAGAAGTTATGAATTTTCGATTGCTTGCGAGACGACAAACCAAAAATTAAATTCAGTAACTGTCTTCAAAGAAATAAACTTTTCGGAGGTTCTCTACACAAAATTAACCTTCAACCCGAATACGAGAAATGGAAAGGAAGTCAACATGATCTCAATATTCAAAGAATCAACTGAGAATACCGAATTAGATGAAATATACGAATTTCCCAAAGCCTGAGAAAGAGATAACCAATCATTAAATTCAAGTACCACTTTGGGGAAATCAAATTATTTGGAGATGTCTTGCACATAATTGGCTTCCGACTTGAACAAATGAATTGGAGAAAATAACGAGGCGAATCCAATTCCATAAGGAATCAACTCATAACGTTATCTCGATTGGAAGTTATGAATTTCTAATCTCAAACCAGTAAAAGCACTGTTTCTGATATACGTCGTCTCAAATCCACTAAAACACCCAATTTCTTTGTAATTCAGAGTATGCTGAGATATATGAGAGCCTGTCATGATGACAGCTTGATTGATCAATGATTTTATGGCTTATGAATCACGCAGAACACATTTAAACCTTGAAAACTAGAGTTTTTCCCCGTTTCACTATCTAACAGAACAATCTATTTTGGAAGGCTTTCGGAAAGGAAATACCTTGATCCCACGACTATCAATGATGTATGCAATGTTAGATGACCTAATGAAAGGTATGCATAAGCCAGATGGGCCTTAAAAAGGGTAGGACAAATTTGGGGTATGACAGCTGCCCCTATTTAATCGTCTTAAACCTGAAGGTGCGATTGGCGCGGGCCTTTCGAACATTCAAGGTGGAAGATGATTAAATACCAATACCGAAAATTTGTTCTAAATGATGAATTGTTTATTTTTGTGATATCTGTTGGGGGAAAATGTGTTCTTCGGTGGAAGATTTTTTAGGGTAACTTATAATGTAATACAAGACGGAGATTGGACTCATAACGTAGCAACAGAGGCTAATACAAGAAAAGGAAAACTTGTAACTTGGCGGTGATGCCAATACAAGGAAGGCAAACTTGTAACATAGAGACAATGCTAATACAAGTAAAGGTAATAACTTGTAACATGGCGGTGATGCAAATACAAGGAGAGGTAGATTTGCAACGTGGCAGTGATGCCAATACAAAGAGGGGTAGATTCGTAACGAGTGTAAACTTGTAATGTGGCGGTGATGCCAATACAAGGAAGAGTAACAACTTGTAATGTAGCAACGACTAATACAAGGAAGAGGTAAAGTTGTAACGTAGCAACAATTCTAATACAAGACACGATAAACATGTAACGTGGCGGTGATGCCAATACAAGTAAGGGTAATGACTTGTAACATGGCGACGACTAATACAAGACAAAGGAAAACTTCTAACGTAGCAACAGTGCTAGTACAAGACACAGTAAACTTGTTACGTGGTGGTGATGCCTATACAAGGAAGGGTAATGAATTGTAACGTGGTGGTGACTAATACAAGACAAAGGAAAACTTGTAACATAGCAGCAGAGGCTAATACAAGGAAATATTGACGACTTGTAACGTAGCATCGGTGCTAAAATAAGGAAGATGGTAAACTTGTAACGTCACAACAATGCCAATACAAGAGGAATGTTGACTCGTAACGTAGCATCGACGCTAATACAAGGACAAAGGAAAATTTGTAACTTAGCAACAATGCTAATACAAGGAAGGTTGATGACTTGTAACGTAGCATCGGCGCTAATACAAAGGCAAAGTTAAACTTGTAAAGTTGTGTAGCGGTAAAATCAATGAAGTAGCCACCGAGTATTTATTTATCCCATAAAAGGGAAAGGAAAATAATCGAAGGAAACCTAAAGGGGAAATCAAGGTCTTGCAACCGAGAGATTGGGTAAGGGAGTCGATTACGCGAGGGGAAGGTATTAGCACCCCACATGTCTGTAGTACTCTACGGGATCCACTATTGTTATTATAATCAAAGGGTATGCTCAATCTAATGCTTAAAAGTTATAGACTAAGAGGGAATGCATGCAAAGAAAACACGGGGAAAAGAAGGAAATATTTACAAATTTTCGCTCAGCTGAGCCCCGTGACCAGATGCCTACGTATCCCTTTTAAGGAATCAGAGCGTCGTAGTTCGGCTCACATATTTTGTTTGTTTGTATTTTTTAAGTGAACAGTGTTGAATTTGATCATTCCACCGTTGCTCGACCCTTGGAGACTTACGACCTGTAGTGTAAATAAAATAATAATGCTCTTAGAAGAGAAAAGCCGAATGGCGAAAATAAGTGGATTGGTTGGTATTTTTTTACCATGAAAAGAATTTTTGTATGCTTAGCATTTTTTATACATTTGCCAAGAAAAAGAAGTTTTACTTTTAAATGCAATTATGCAAAAATAGGAAGAAAACATCTATGGGAGACTAAACTATCTCTAACCTAATGTTACCATACAATGATTGATCCTACAGTTGAGCTTTAAAGGGAAATCTCTACCCTAAGTTGACATGCTTGGATAACAGTCCTAATGCCTATCTCAACTCATCATCTATAGATGAATCAAGAAGTCCTAAAGGAGCATAACAAGGGTCTATCATCTCAAGGCATGCACACAAATATGAAATCAAGCAAGCAGGCCAATAAGCTCAAGAGAGTACACCTAGAGAGATCCTACCTAGGCTAGCATGCCAAAGAAAGTAAAAAAATTGTCCTATGGGGAACATACAATGAGAGAGAAGTCGTGATTCCAATTTCTAAATTGAGTGACTCATCGATCAACCAGAAATAAAGGAAAGGGATAAAATCCTATAGGGATCATACATTGAGAGCGAAGTCGTGATATCAATTTCTAAATTGAGTGACTCATTGATCAACAACCAAGGAAACAAACACAAGCACGACACATATACCAAATGAAGTGCGGAATACCTGTTACAGGTCTTTAAACAGCGACTTCGAGCACACACTCTTTATTTCCTACTTCTCATGATATCTGGAAAGCGATAAGTACGAAAATATAACTTGAAAGAAGAATAATACCAAATGAACAATAAAGTCCGCAAAAAGCGCAACCAAAGCAAAGAAACCCAGAATGCTTCGTGCGAGCTGACATTAACACACAAACAGTCAGAGATCGAATACACAGAATAAGTGTCGAAGCGTCATCGATGTGAAAATAAATCACAATCAAAAATTCAAATGTATCTGCATATCACGCACTAAACCTGCATAAGACTCAAATCTTGACAAGCATAAGTGAAGCACGAGTTTCAAGTAATCGAAAAACATTAGGAATTAATTTTGAAAATCAAATAAAGAGCCTAACAAACATTTTTATTGATTTTGTAGTTCATTATCTAAAAAAATAATAATAAGTCCTAAATTCTATTTATTTTTATTGTTTTTATTACATATATTTTATTACTATTTTTATTATAAAAAGGGATTTAAACTAAAACAAAAAAAAAAATCTAGAAAAAAACATAGGAAATATAAATGGTCAGGGGGGTGCATCTTATGGTGGTATAATCCACCAATGAAACTCTGGGCCCTAGGTCTGTTCCGTTTGAGCCCATAATACTATTTTTTTGTTTGTAAGAGAAATCAACTTATATCACAAAATTTACGTTGGGGCTTCAGGTGGAGTATGATCTGGCCCAATATCCAATTTATTACTAAATCCAACAGATCTTCAGCATCATCATGATTGACGCAGCGTTATTTATCTATCTTCCAACTAAAAACAAATTTAAAAAAACAAAATGATAAATGAACAGTGTTGTTTAACCTGGGAAGGATAGGGTTACGAATTATGTGACCTTTCAACTTATCAAACCGTGATCTCCTCCGTCGCCACCGGGACAAAATTCTCCTCTCCGCAACCAAAGTCTTCCGCACGCGTACCCTAACTCAAATTTCAACCTTGTTTTCCATTATTACTAATCTAACTCCAAATCTATTTCAGGGAAGAAAACCCTAAGACGCTCACAAATGGAGACTGCACCATGACGAAGTGCGATTTCAAGTAACAAGCAAAGGGGAGAGATCCAACAAGTCTTGAACAATGTTCTGGCGCTGAGAAATCAAGGAAAAAGATCGCGTAACCTGCCTCGACAGTGGCTATTATGGTGCGTTTTCGGCGATCCGCGAGTTCAGCTAAGTCTTTCGCTTCTTGTTTCTTCTATTCTACTTCTTACTCTTTGTTTTCTATGTGGGTTATGAGTTGTTATGATTGCAGATTTGATGTTGATATTGTTCTTTAACATGCGGTGTTGATGATGTAGATGAAGGAGGATGTTGTCGTCGTTATGAATATAATTCTGGAGTTGCAAGATAGCTTGAAGAGATGCGTGAAGATTTGTGATGATGAAGGTGTTGGTGTTATCGCAGATTGAGAGAATGAGGTTGCTGAATATTGCAGGTGAAGCAGAGAGAGCGAGAGTTTTCTGGTTGCAGAAGATTCACCAAGTTTGATACCAGGCTCAAGAATGAGGAAGGTTGAAGATGAAGATGAAGATTATTTCGAAAATATCAGAGAGATTCAGAAGTGAGTACCCTCTGAACCTTTTCTGTTTTTCTGTTATCAATCCCCTTTGTCATGAGTTGGTTAGAGGTTTATTATAGGTAGTTGAAAGTTAGTTGAGATGGTTTAAGGTAGTTAAGATGAGCTGTCAAACTTGCTCTAACTGTTTTTTGATTAGTTGTTAGTTATAATTGAAATGACATTGGGATTTTCTATTTTCTGTTGAACCAGTTTTTTTCATTTGAATTTGATCCTGAACTTCTATTTTATTGAATTTCCTGAACTAATTCTATACTAATGCATGGATGCATACGTTAGTAAGAGTTGCAGCAGGGTATGATTGTTTTGCTGGGCGATTCATGTGGGAATTTCTGTTTTGAATCGCGATGTTTGGGCAACAAGCATGTGACTTGAACTTTATTTTGTAGTTTATAAGGTATTGAATTGATGAATGTATGTATATTGGCACATTTTTAACGAACATGGGCTGATATGTGCCTTGGCTTATGTATGTTTATGCAGGGAAAATTGTGCGCAGCTGGTTGAAACCTCAATCGTGAAGAGCTTGAAACATGGTTTGAATAAATGTAATCATGATGCAACATAGTGAAGATTCAATAGCATGATATATAAGGAGAATGGAATGGTTTTGGCTTTAGGAACTTAAGTTTAGGACTTTCGTAGGTTTTTTACGTAAGGACTTTTGCAATGGTCTTCTAATTATAATCCTTGGCACAATTATGAACATTTGCCTTGTTTCTTGAATTCCAGAGAACTAGACTTGAATGAATTTGGAGGTGTTTGAATTTCAATCTTCAATTTAATGAAATACTTGAATCTATGGCCTATGGTTGATAAATCTGAAGTGACTTTATAATGGAAGCATATTGGTATCTTTTGCATCTCTGAATAAAACTTTGTTCATGAATGAAGCTTTGAACAAAGGCGAAATTTGATGATCTTAATGAACATTTGTGATTGGAACCTTGATGACATTTGATAACCGTGAAATGACTTTGATAATGATGTGCCTCATAACTTACTTTATCCAAGACATCCACATACATGAATGTTTTAACATTGCACTTTTGAATTACTTTGTGACAGATCAATGTTGATGCCATAGTGAAACCATAAACCAAAACCTTGAATCACCTGGTCATATTGAACTCATAGTACATTTGGATGAAGCTTTTAATCTTGAGTCCACATTACCTTGCAGTTGAAGCAATTCATCTCAATTGAATGACTAGTGACTTTAGTCCATATTTCAACCAATCAATAGACATATTAAAGCACTCATTAGCCAAAAGAACTCCCCTAGAAAAAAAAAGTCTTACTCCAAAAAAAATTCATAATTTCACCTCTTGTGTCATGATTCTTGTTTTTGCACTTTAAACCTCAAAGACATCCTAGCTCGATAACGAACAATCTTGCAACAAGATTAAAGCTATGAGGAACAAATGGAAGACAAGTGATAAGACTTGAAGTATCAAATCCAATGACCTTTAGTTGTAACGTTGACAAACTCAACCACCCTGGATGAAAAACCCTAATCTATATTCAATCCTCTAAACTTCTTGAAAATAATATCTTGTAGTGAAGACAATTAGGAGGAAACCCCAATTATCTTGATTTGGATGCACAATGATAAGGAGACGACTTGAGGTATTGGGAGGAATCAAAACCCTAGCTCATTGTCTGCTCAATTTCAAAACATGATGAAACCTACGCACACAAAGGTAAAGCCCTGATGCACTTGTTCTTGAGGAACTTTTGATGAATAAAACCTTATGTCTCGAGGAAACCTGTTAGTGAAGGCGTCTATGATGCTTGTGATCCAAAAACCTAATCTCATACCAAGAATGATAAGAGCATCAGTTGAATTAACTTTGAGTGTAACAATCTTAGTCCACTGAGAAAAACCCTAATGCCCAAAACTCTTTGATCCCGTAACCATGGGACCAATGCTATGTATGAGATGTACAGAGTATGATGAAGGATCTTAGAGGGAAAATTGGGGTATAACATGTAGAAACAATGCTAATACAAGGAAAGGTTGATGACTTGTAATCTAGCATCGACACTAATACAAGGATGGAGGTAAACTTGTAACGTGGCAACAATGCCAATACAAGACAAAGTCAAACTCGTAACGTGGAAACAATGCCAATACAAGAGGAAGGTAATGACGTGTAGCGTGGCAACAGTGCAAATACAAGACAAAGGTTGACCTGTAATGTGGCGACAATGCCAATAAAAGGCAAATATTTGACTTGTAATGTAGCAACAAAGGCTAATACAAGAGAAAGTATGACTTGTAACATAGCAACAATGCTAATACAAGGTTCCTATGAGAGTATATGTTGAATAATGTATGGATTTTTAAGAAGCAAAGTTGATGACAAAACGTTCATGTCAATGGCAGACCTACTGGGAAAGATAAATATAGTAATTCTTCTGATACCCTGAATAATATTAGATGGCAGACTTGTTAGGGGAAAATGAAAAACAATAAGACTTCTAACATGCTAACCAATGTCAGATAGCAGACTCACTGGGGATAACAATAGATAGATATTCTGATAGCGTCGTATGTTATACAGGTACCTAACGAACAAGGATGACAGGTAAAACTCTTCTTAGCATTGTAGGCTAGACAAAACATGACAAAAATAATGATAGGTAGATATTCTGATAGCGTCGTGTGCTATACAAGTACCTAACAAAAATATGACAAGATGTGCCAACTTTGCTGGAAATTCGGAGAAAAATTAACACATGTAAGGGTTTAAGAGTACCAGGTACCGCCACTGTTGGTCGGGGATTGCGACATGGAGAGGGACATTAGCTAGGGATTTGGATCCATATTCTCTATGGGGATATATGATTGTGCTGAAAGATGTAGGTTCTCGTAAGGTACCTAATCTGGCGTATGCTTCGTATGCATGTTTGAGTTTTGTATAGCGTAATGATCCATTTTACCGGATATGCTACGCGCTTTGAGGATAAAATGTTATGCAATGACAACTATATGCAAAGGACAGAGAAATACAATATGTGGGGACGAGAATAGGCTCATCAAGAATTGTTGCTCGTTGTCTTGAAATACCGATATGGACTGGTGCTGCTGGGAATGAGAGACCAAAAATCTTGGTAACTCCGCTGGGGATAATGAAAGATTCTCTAGGGAAGAGTTGTAGTCTTGTTGGGGAAGAAGCGATCTGATCTGACTTCTCTATAACCTCGACTGCTTAGGGATGGTAGAATGGATACAAACATGTTGAGGGATGGATACGAACACCATATGGATCTCTTCGAATGCCCCGAGTCTGCATCGCTGGGGAATTATATCTTAGACCACTTGGGGATTAGGAGATGGACATGGATATCTTCGAATGCCCTGGTTTACCTCTCTGTTGGAGACTAGAAGACGATTTTGTGGGGATTACATGCTGACCCACACCAAAACCTCTCAATTGCCCCAAGTTCAGTCTACTGGGGAATTTCTCTGCTGAGGAGTCACACCAAACCTCTGAATAGCATGAAGCCATTGAGTGCCCCGGTTACACTGCTGCTGGGGAATCATGCTGAATTTGCATACTGAATAGCTCTAAACCTATGAGTGCCCCAGTTTACTCGACAGTTGGGGAGTATACCTAGAACTCCTGTAGGGGATGATGACGACTTTTGCGGTGCTGGATGGTCAAGGTGACCGTCATGATGCTTTTAGCTCTATTTCTTTGGCAGTTACCTTGCAGGACATAACTTGCTTGAGTAGCTTCGCGAGTATGGATGAGGAACGCCCTTGTTTGTAGGATCTCTGAAAGAATCGGTGCTGAACAGAAAATCAGAATATCCGTGCCACAATATGATATGAGGTGGTCTGCCCCAATGTCTTGAATCACGAAATAAATTGTTTACAGATTTCTTGGAGAGATTTGTCGAATCTCGACGTGATTGCCTCAGGTTGATGGATTCCTAAGAGATTTCTCGACGTGATTGCCCCAGGTTGATGGCAACTTGAAGGGATTCATCGACGTGATTTCCCCAGGTTGATCAAGCTTGAATATATTTATCGACGTTATTTCCCCTGATTTATTGAGCTCTTACTCAATGGAGTATTCATATACTTCTTCCTCTTAGGGTAAACAGATTCTGATACTTTAATTCTATTCAACAGAATACTACCATTGGAAATAATTGTCTCTGCTCAACAGCGTCTTGAATGACAACATACCCTTAGGGTGGTCGACTTACATCTTGAAAGTAGGCTAACACCCAACCGTACTTTTCAACTTGAGCTGCTTCGCGCTCAAATAGAAACTTGAAACAATATGTCCCTTAGGGTCAACTGAAAGTGATGCACCATTGCTCAACAGAGACTTTCGAGAAACCAAAGCTTTCACATAAACATTAAGATATCAAGTGATCTGCTTCTGATCATTTCTTAAACTGGTCTTTTTTTACTCAACGTAGTCACTAGAAAGTCTGCCCAGATTAAGATCACCCTCTGAGATGATTTACTTTTCGACAGATTTTTGAAGCAATTTTATCCCTCGTGATAATCAAACTTTCATTTGATGCTCATTATGCAAGCTCACTTGATGTTTAATCACTTTTTCATATGCAAAGAATGTATGATAAATTTCTGGAGCTTAGCAACATGTATCAGAAATTTAAAAATTTCTGCTAGTTCAATTTTTTTTGAAAAATATCGGAAATTTCAAAATTTCTGATTGTTCATATTTTTCTAATTTTTCCTCCTTTTATTAATTGTTTCAGTGAGGACCATAGGCAAAGATGATTTTTTATATGTTTTTCTCTATAGTATATGCCCATATTTATATAAATAGTGATGAATTCTAGACCACACAAATTTGTCGATGCAATAAGAACTCTCCAAAGATGTCGGCCAAATCTCGACCGTTAAAAAAACTTAAATAAATGAACTACTGGAAATTTTAGTATAACTCAAATTTCCAGTACTGCCTAATAAATTTGAAATTTTCAGAATATCAGAAATTTCAAATACACTACTGAAAATTTATATTAACCGAAAAATTTGTAGAAGTGTATCAGAAATTTTGTGTGTACCAAAAATTCCAAATTTTAAACAAAAAATTTCGTCCGGAAATTATTTGTATCTCAACAAGAATAATTCTAAAATAATTAAAATTAGAGGAATGTCATGTTTAATTTGAGGATGACATATTAAATTCTCCTAAAATTGTTTGAAACTCAATAAATTAAAAATCACTAAATTGAGAAAATATGGAGTCATAAGTACAATTAAAATTCCTTTAAATTTATCATAATTCTCATATTCCACATTCTTACTTCGACATAATACTATTAAACAATTGCACAATTTTAAATATAACAAATTAAATTCAAAAGTAAAAAAAATGTAAACTATCATTTTAGAAATGTTACAAGTTACAATATATGATAGTAATACACCATGTGAGACACATAATTCAGCCTCACAAACAAAGTCCTAATTTAAAATAACCTTGAATCTCTATCTATCCTTCATTGCTCTCATCAACTTTGGGTCTAGTGTTCATAAGAACCTGTACAAGTAAATAACATCCAATAAATTTT